CCTTGGCAGCAATTTTTATCTGTTTTATTCACTAATGTACTCCCAGGACTAAACAGTGCCTGGTATTCAATCTATACTAATATAAGGGAAATATGCTAATTAGACCAGACGTCTACCAGACATCCTTCCAGATGTCCTTCCAGACAAAGCCATGGTGGCAGGGGCCACAGCAGAGGCGGTTAGGGTGGTCAAGCTAGCAGGGGAAAGCAGTGGGGGCGAGAGTGTAGCCCAGGCTGAGGGACCTTCTCCCCCCACCCTCACCATGCGTGAATTTCATGCATGAGGTCTCTAGTAGACCAATAAAGCAATAAGGAACAAATAACAGAATGTATGAATAGTGGGCATTTACTTTATTTCCTTTTTTTTCAACAAATAATGATGCTGAATTAAGATTCCCTATACACATGTGCTTCTGTATTGGTCTTTTTATTTCTATACTAGAAGCCTGGTGCATAAAATGTGTGCACAGGGAGGTGGTGGTCCCTCAGCCTGGACTGCGCCCTCTCACAGTCCAGAACCCACAGGGATCCGGCCTAAACCGGCAGATGGACATTCATCTCACAATCCGGGACCTCTGGCTCCTAACTGCTCACTTGCAAGCCTGCCTGATCTCCCCTAACCACTCTGCATGCCTGCTTCATTGCCCCTATCTACTTGCCTGCTTGCCCCATAGCCACTAACTACTCGCCTACTGAATATCACCCCTAACTGCTCGCCTGCCTGATTATCCCTGACCATTCTACCTGCCTGCCTGATTTCCCCTAACCGCCTCTGCCTTGGCCACTGCGGCTTCGTTTGGAAGGATGTATGGAATGACATCTGAAAGGTCATCCAGCTGTTTAATCTAATTGGAATATTATACTTATTTTATTATAGATGGTCAGAACGTTTCCCTATCCATGAACATTTCCCATAACCATGTTTGAATATCCTTTCCCTGCTTCTCCACTCTTTCTTTCAGCCATCTATAGGTGGCTTTTGAAAATCTTATTCAAAATTATCATTTAATTTGCATTTTTCTGATGACTTTTGAACTTGAGCATCATTGAATATATTTATTGATTATATTAATGTAGTCATTTGGGAATTGATTATGCAATAGAAAGATATAGATAGAGATTAGAATAGAGATAGAGAAAGAGATGACATAAATATAATCTTACTTGTAATCTGTAAGGAAAATTTTTCTAATCTATTATGTGCCTATTGATTTTATTTATGAAAATTTTAGACCACAGTTAAAATGTCACATAATGAAATATATACATTTTTTTCTTTTGTAGCTTCTGAATTTTAGATCCTGTCTTTAAATTGCACATTGCTTACCATCTGTTTTCTTGCAAGAATTTTATTATTTGTTACATTTAAGACCTTAATCAATCTAGACTATACTTCTGTATATGAAATATGCAGAAGAAAAATGGGTTTAATTTCATTTATTTCCAGGTGAATAACCAGATATACCAGCACCATATTAAATAATACATCTTTTTAAATGGAATTAACTTTTGTTATATGTTAAATCCTCCTAATTACTGACCAAAGTATTTTGATTCTCTTTTCTGTTCTCTTAACATATTATCTAGTGTATATTAACTTCAAGTTTTTTAAAGAAAAAAAAAAAAACAGCTTGGTAAAAGGAAGAGGAAATATAACCTGGCAGGTCAAAGAAAATAAACATATTCAATTTGAAGATGAATTAGGGGACAACTTTAAAATAAGAATGAATACAGATGTTGTAACTGAACATCATGTCATTTTCAATCTGCCTAAAATGTAAAAACAATAAAACTATAGTTCTATTCTCACTAGTCATAAAATGTCTGGGCCAACCTCATATAGTTTTTCTATGAAAAGTTATTTTAATTTATATAATCTTGCTCTTTCTCATTGTGCCTATGCTTCCATCCTTTTGAGTAATATTTTATTTGTTATGTTTCTCCAGAAAAATAGAACTAATGGAATGTATATAAATATCCTTTCTAATAAAATAGTAATAAGCAAATTAACCATCACTCTGTTATATTTACCAGCCATGCCCACCAGTCAATCAGGAGTGATTATGCAAATAAACCCATCCAAGATGGCTGTGGCCACAGAGAGAGTAGGAGGGAGGCTTGGGTTTCCCCAGCGATGGAGGAAGCCAAACTTTCTACACACCCTGGTCAGCCCAGGCCTCCACTTAAGGCTACAAAATTTCAATTATAGAAGATAAGTAAATCCCAACAGAAATGGTGGCAGCCACAGAGCTGGAAGAGCAGGATATTAGGGTTGCCCCAGGTGATGGAGGAAGCTAAGCATCTGCAGTCCTGGTCTGCTTTTGCCTCTGCTCAAGGCTACAAAGTTTCAAGTATAGAAGATAAATAAATCCCAACAAAAATGGCTGTGGCCACAGAGCGAGCAAGAGGCTTGGCTCCACTCCAGGCTACAAAGTTTCAATTGTAGAAGATAAATAAATCCCAGATACCAGGGCCTCCACTTGGGTCGCCAGGGAGTGTGGCCAGCCTTCAAACCACCACAGGCCCCTTGCCCAAGTTGCCCCATGCCCCAACAGAACCCCCACCTGATTCGGGACACCCTTCAGGGCAAACCAGCTAGCCCCCACCCATGCACCAGGCCTCTATCCTATCTAATAAAAGAGAAATATGCAGATTGACCATCACTCCAACACATAAAATCAAGATGGCTGCCCCTTTGTGGTCAAAGATCCTGCCCCCATGTGGACACAAGATGGCCACTATAAGATGGCCAGCAGGGGCGGGCAGTTGGGATGCACCAGGCCTGCAAGGGAAGGCAGTTGTGGGTGATCAGGCCAGCAGGCAAGGGCAGTTGGGAAGGACCAGGGCTGCAGGGGAGGGCAGTTAGAGGTGACCAGGCCGGCAGAGGAGGAAAGTTGGGGGAAAACAGGCTGGCAGGGGAATAGTTAGATATCAGTCATGCTGGCATGGGAGTGGTTAGAAGGTGATCAGGCTGGCAGGCAGAAGAAGTTAGGAGCAATCAGGAAGGCAGGCAGGCAAGCAGTTGAGAACCAGTAGTCCTGGATTTTAAGAGAGATCCCAGATTGGAGAGGATGCAGGCCCTCCCCCCATGCATGAATTTCATGCACCGGGCCTCTAGTAGAAATATATTTGTTATAAGTAAATGGATCATATGTTATGATGCTGGTGAGCCTTAACTGTCCAGTGTGGGCCAGCAGGCTGGAGCCCCAGGAGAGCAAATGGTGCAGATGAAGTCCAAAGGCAGTCTGTTGGTGAAATTAACTTTTGGTTGGGCAGCCCACTTGTTTTGTTCTATTAGGCCATCAATTGATTGGATAAGGACCTCCCACATTATGGAGGGCAATCTGCTTGAAGTTTATTGATATAAATGTTAACCTCATGACATATAGATGGTCAATAAGCATATGAAAAGATGCTCAATATCACTAATCATCAGAGAAATGCAAATTAAAAGCACAATGAGATGTAATCTCATACCTGTAGGAATGGCTATCATCAATAAATCAACAAACAAGTGATGGGGAAGATGTGGAGAAAAGGGAACAATCATACACTGTCGGTGGGAATGTAGATTGGTGCAGCCACTATGGAAAACATTATGGAAGTTGCTAAAAATATTAAAAATGGAACTGCTTAAACCCAAAACACTAATTCAAAAGAATAAATGCACCCCCATCCTATGTTCACTGCAGTGTTATTTATATAGCCAAGTTATGGAAGCAATCTAAGAACACATCAATAGACGAGTGGATAAAAAAGCTACATTTACACAATGGAATATTACTCAGCCATAAGAAAGATCAAAATCTTACCATTTCGAAAGCATGGATGGTCCTAGAGGGGGTTGTGCTAAGTGAAATAAATGAGTCAGGGAAAAATAAATACCATATGGTTTCACTTATATGGAGACTCTAGAGAACAATCTAAGCAAATAAATAAAACAGAAACTGAATCCTAAGTACAGAGAACAGACTGATGGTCGCCAGGTGGGAGAGGAGTTGAGGAACGGGGAGAAAAAGGTGAGGGGATTGAGAAGTACATATTGGTAATTCCAAAATAGCCACAGGGACACAGAGTACAGCATAGAAAATGTAGTCAATAATGCTGTAATGACTATATATGTTGCCAGTTTGGTGCTGGAAATATCAGAGGGAACACTTTATGTATGCTTGTCTAACCACTATGTTGTACACATGAAACTAAAGCAAAATAATATTGAATGTAAAAAAATGTTAACCTAGTCCAATAACACCCTCTAAGTTGCTACATAATTTTAAGTTGCTACATAAAATTAACCATCACAACTATCTCATGTTATTTTTTATCCCTAAGAAAACTTATCTATAAAAAAGTTATTTTTTTTTTTACCCATGGGGAAAGTTAATTCTTGAAGAAGAAAAGTTCAGGGTAGCCAAGATTTCAGGCTCAAAATAAATAAGGTTACTAGCCTACTTGTACTCTGATTCTACTAACTGTAAATCCATTAAATATTACCTTTACCTAAAATCACAGGACACAAAGTAAAACCTGTCAAGATTTTGTGGATGCTCATTCCTTCATCACCAACTTACCTCTCTGTCTTGGACCTTCAGAGAAAATAAAATAAAATTGGTGGCCAGCTACTGGCCATTGCATATTTTGAAAATTCTTATAATTGCTAATTGTAAACCTTTCCATGCATTAATCTGATTGCCCCCTACTTGTCACTGCTCTGATTGTTGATTTAAGGGACACATTTAGGATAGAAGGAAAACATTTTGTGAGTCTCTTAAAATATAAGTCATGGATTTCCTTGTTGTAGCAATGTCAGTTCTCAGTCTAATCAGTATTTCGGGGGTTAAACAGAAAGTACTAACTTCCTTTTCATAATCCCTATTGATTTCTAACTCCCCCTCTTCCCCCACATGCAGACATAACAGACATACTCCAGCCTTCAATCAAATAGATAACACAGGTTTCCAGGAGTTGGTTACTTGGCCTGTGTATCTCTAGTAGGGTTACCTGGTGTGTGATCAGAGTCTGCACTCAGTGCTTCATCAGGAATTCTGTTGCCAATGGCCCAGTCCAAGTCATCTTCAGAGTCTTGAGTAAGACCACAGGCTGTGGTCCAATTTGTGGAAGTTGTTTCAAAATTACAGCTTCCTGTTGTGGTTGTGTACTGGCCTAAGGAAACAAACATTTTAATAATAAGTTCTGAAAATCTATATTGCACTTAGTGATACTTTTGTGATGATTTTAATTAATATCTGCATATTCTAATTCTTTATAAGTAAGTGCATAGAACTAGGACATTTGCACCCATTGATAATATCAGATGCAACCAGCTTTTTTAGTCCAGGATCTAGAAGCAGTGCATGAATATTGTCATTTATTCACTAAGTAGCTATATTGGTTGACTAAGGATACTTATAAATAATAGGTAAAACTGTCTACACATAAACAACGAACATAGCATTATAATACCTATCAAATCAAATAAATCAACAGCTTCAGTTGTCTGGATATTAATTCAGTTCCTCTGAGTGCTCTGGTGTTTGAACAGCATAGACTGTTGGAGAGGCAAACTCACTTTCTAAAGAAAAGGTGCCTTAAGGTGAAACAGTGAACAGTATGGACACACCCTTTGAGCATACGATACAATCACCATGTACAACATTTCAGAACTAGTCAGCAAATAATGAAAGATGTTCTCTTCTAAAAGTGTTGATTGATAACTCATTAAAAATTAAGTTATTCACAATATAAATTACTAGATAAGAACTGTGTTGTGATAATAACTAGTTGAGATAACAACTAGTCATCTGTAAAAGTGCCATCATAACATTCTGATATCTGCTTTCATTTTTCATTTTATTTATTTGTATAGCAACTGAGTCTGTCATTGACTTTTCCTCTCTCTCTCTCTCTCTCTCTCTCTCTCTCTCTCTCTCTCTCTATATATATATATATATATATATATATATATAAAGTTTATATTATTTTTAACATTTCTTGAAGTAATTTCTTGTTTATAACTTTTTCTTAACATCAAACTAATACTAGCACATAGAAACTTCATCAGAAGAAAAGTTTGCCATTAAAATAAACACCAAATATATAGCAAAAGTAGTTTTCATATTTTTATAGAAAGTTTTCTGCATCTCTGAGAGAATTTTCATAAAGTATCAGCATTTCACTTCTCAGGCATGATTGCATTTTATCTCCAAAAGTAAAATCACTTTAAATTGTGTACATTTATTTTATTCATTATCCATAATTTATAATTAGTTAATTTTTTGTGTTTCTTTATGGGCCCTGTATATCTTTATGCTTTTCTGTACCAAACCCATGGCTTAGATAGGTTTATATTATGCAAACAATGTGCATAAAGGTGAGAGATTCAGTTCTCCAGGTGTTTAGCCAGCACAACTGCAAAAATGCAGAACTTATCAATGTCCATAGGAGACAGCCACTGTAGGTTCTTCAGAATAATGTCACATTCAGGCTCTGTACTATCGTATTTCTGTGTAACTGACTCCCCACCATATAGGCTTGGCAATAATTATCCTACATCCTTTTCCATTCTCTGTGAGAACTCTGTCCTTCTAGCTCCAATTTATTTAAAATATGACCTTTATCTTCGACCCTAAGGATATGCATGCAATCAGGATCAATTCTCTTATATTTAATTCTCTTTACATCAATTTTTGAAACTTGTCATTTCTAAAGCTATTCTCAGTTTATGATCTCTACTCCTTAGCAACACTATTTTTAGGATTCCACATCCTCATTTATTTCAAAGTTACACAATTTTTCCACATTTTCCAATCTCACATTCTCCACTAATTACTTTCCTATAACTTGCAGATACAGTCACAGTGTCCCTCTTGATTTAAAAAATATGTATTTTTTTATTTAAATTTCTCACTCTGTATATCTTCACTCATCCTATCCAGGGGCCCTTCATACTTTTATGCAGATGGCTTACAAATAAATCCACAGCCATGATGAAATGCAGGCATTTTTCTTCAAATGCTTTTTGAATATTTCACTTGGAATACACAACGATTACCTCAAAACCAAACAAGCCTAAAATAAACTCATCATTCACTTCTCAAGTTGGGTTCTTCTTTTTGAGATTATTGACTAATTTCATAGGATGAATCTTCTCTCTTTCTAAAAATTCTAACTTTGGAGTTATCTATAATTCTGCATTCTTTGTTTTCATATTCAATTTCTGATATCACCAAATACCTGTAGATTCTCCCTTTGAAAACTTTTTTAATTCATTTCCTCCCTTGCAGTTTTATAGTGCCTGTTCCAGTTCCATTGGTTTCAGCCACCTGGTTTAATGGAGTCTCTCTCTTTTTTTAATATATATTTTATTGAGTTTTTAGAGAGAGGAAGAGATAAGGATAGAGAGTTAGAAACATCGTTGAGAGAGAAACATCGGGGATGTGCCTGCAACCAAGGTACATGCCCTTGATCGGAATGGAACCTGGGACCTTTCAGTCTGCAGGCCAATGCTCTATCCACTGAGCCAAACTGGTTTTGGCGAGTCTCCTTTTATAAATGTAGCCTTCAATCTATCAACATTACAAATGCAAACCACATTAATCACCTTTAAGAATGTTCTTATGTATTATTTCCCTTGCTAAAAATATTCAAGTTTTCACATTGTCTGAAGATACTCTTCAAAATCTCTAGCCTTGAATACAGTAACCTTTATGCAATGCAAAAAGTTTTTTAGGCTGAAATCTGTCTCATGTTTAAAATTGCCTGCCAACCGAATTTTTCAGAAAATTATCTCTTGACTAAAAACAGACTTTCTTCAACTTTTATGGTTAAAGCTAATTCTCACTTTTTAAAATGTTTTCTCTAGCATTTGGGTGCTCATTTGTCAGTCAGCCCTTCCCTCTCTTGTTCAGATAACCCTTCTCTCAGTCAGGTATGTGCTTTGTGAGTGAAACAGCCTTCATCAGTCCAGTAGGGACTGATGGTTAATATCAGCCATTGTGATGCCATGGTCCTCTTTCTTAATTAGAGTAAGCATCAACGTGGGATGCAATTCTAGACAATGAGGCTTATTGGAGAAAAGGCACATAGGAATTTTTATTTCTTTAGAAAATAATCAAAAGGAAGAAAACCTATTTGTCCTTTCTCATGATAGCATTGCAAAAATGAGATACTCAGGACTACAGAATTTGATGGGGAGGAGCTGGCTTTACAGAATAACAAATTATCATAACTCAAACAGACAGGAGTTAATTTATTTCAATTAACGGTAAGCTGGGAAGTTGTCAGTTTAAGGTCGGCATGGTGGTGCAGCCATGCGGTGCCAAGCACACATTTCCCACCTTTCAATGCTGTCACCTTGTCATCCTCACACTCATGCATGGATGCAAGACAACTGCTGTACTTCTATGGGTCACAGACATTCAAGCATTGAGGGAGACAAAAAGAGGAAAGCGCCTTTTCTTTCTGAAAGAGACACCTTTCCAAAATCCCCATGTGTATTCATTGGCCTCTGGTGACTGTAAGGAAGACTGGAGGTGATGGTATTTGCAGCTGCTCACAATGCTGCCCCAGATAAAATTGGAGTTCTCTTTTTAAGTAACAAACAGAAATAAAAAGCAAATATCAGAGAATCCTGTCCATCTAAACTGTGTAAGGTTGGAATTTCTGTTATAAGTATCTCTATCTTCCCTTCTCCATTCCATCTTCCTTCAATGTCCATTGTCTATACCATCTCTCCATTTGAAGATGATGCCAGTTCTCGGGGCATGTGTGGGTTTGTGGCATTATAGTTGTTACCACTAATTTTGAAATTCATTGCTTCTTTATTTTATATTGTCATCTTACTTGTTTACTATTTTATTACTATAAACATTTCCAGTAATCAGTAATTTTTAGTGAACTACATCATGTATATCAAAGTGTTCCCATCCATAATTATTGCATGATGAATGATATGAAGACATTGCAATATTTCTTGATGAGGTCTATGTAACATCTATATTTTCAAAATAGCTATTGCTTTAGAAAATCGATAGTGTGTGATCTTTATCATGAACCTTTGAAGGATTCAAAGCATTAGTAACATTCTTTAAACAACTGGCATCTTCCCAGTGGAATAATATGGTTGGTCAGTGAAAATATTGATCAATTAATATACGTTTAAGAGATAGCACCATAATTATCTTTGATTCCTTACATCCACATATCCACCTTATTTTGCCATACCATAATGCATAATACATGAATACTAAATAGTTTATCCTCATTGTGAAATGGCTCCTTTGCTGCATTGAGAAGGATATTTAAGAATCTGGGGAGACTGGGAAAGAGGATGTTTGTCACTGTAAGAGGCAGGAGAGAAAGGGGCCACTAGCATGCTGCATATACCCAGCTGAGAACTCAAGGTGCACTTGACACATTTTAGATAATAATTTCCTCCCATAAAAGAAGAGAGCACATTTTCTGATTTAACTGTTGTGGTTTTGTTTATTTGTTTGTTTATTTGTTTTTTTTAAGAATTGATCTCACTTAGTAGTAACCAAACATTTTGCAACAGGAGGTAAAGATGCAAAAGAAAATTTTATTTTATGACACATTTTTTTGAGGAATAACTGCATTTATTTTCTGATAAATTTGAAGGCTCTGTATATAAGACATGACTAACAAATTTCCAGAGAATGTAAAATTTATGATATGGAAAAAGCTAACATTATCAATTCTAGTATACTGAATGGAGACATTCTTTACATTATTTCATTTAATTCTCAAAGCACTCAATAGGATGGATGTTATTATATCTACTGAACAAATGAGAAAAGTGAGTCATTGAGAATTTAAATAATTGCCCTACAAGTGAGGGTCAAAGTCAAAATGAGGACTCCAGTTTAATAATCCAAAAGGTCAACTCTTTCTTATATTTCTCCAAAGGTCATTTAAAAAATGTGCAATTTATTCCATTATGCACTTAGATTATCTGACTTCAAAAATTTAGCCCTGATAATTTACATTAGAGAATATATATAAAAGACCATCAATATAAAATATAAATGAAGTCCATTTGCAGAACTAAGTCACTTGTATATTTTTGTAATCTGTGTAGTTTTGTTTGTGGATATGAAAAAAAAGTGTATCAAGAGACTAAGAAAAGTGACTTTTTAATTTGTCAATATATTATTTATATATTAATAAATTCAACTACTTCTTGCAGTTGTCCATCAAAGTTGTGGTTAACACTAACAGATATAAGTAATTTACTTCAGTTTCAGAAAATCAAAACTTCCTGTGTGTGTTTTCACATCAATAACTGTGAGGGGGAAAGCATATAAGGCAGTCTGAGTGAAGCCAGATGAACACGGGCAGCTTTCACATTTGAAAATCCGAATTACCCATAACTTTCCCTAGCATTTTGTAAGCCTATTTCTATACTGCACATACAGGTGTATACACACACACACACACACACACACATACACACACACACACACACACACACACACACTGTTCTTCATTTGCGCTCTCTGAATAAGCTGTGATAACCTTATTCTTGATAGAACTTGTTACACTTTACAATTAACCAGGAAACAACTCATTTACTAACAGCTTCTTTAAAAAGAGATAAAAAAAAAACATATTAGATTTAAATACATTTTTCTTCATAGTTTCTCACTCATACATTATAAACTAAGTTTTTGAAGTCTAAAACAATGTCTTATTCATTTTTATATATCTAACATTCAGAAAGTTGTTCCTACCCCATATTAAGAATAGGAATAAATGAAAGAATATACTTTATATAAAATACTAGAGACCTGGTGCATGAAATTCATGCACAGGTGGGGGGGTGTCCCTCACCTCAGCTCAGCCTGCACCCTCTCCAATCTGTGACCATTCAAGGGATGTCCAACTGTCCATTCAGGCCTGATCCCGGTAGGATTGAGCCTAAATGGGCAGTTGGATATCCCTCTCACAATCCAGGACTGCTGACTCCCAACTGCTCACCTGCCTGCCTTCCTGATTACTCCTAACTACTTCTGCCTGCCAGCCTGATCACCTCCTAATGACTCCCATGCCATCCTCATTGATGTCTAATTGCTCCCCTGCCAGCCTGTTTGCCCCTAGCTGCCCTCCCCTGAAAGCCTGGGTGTCCCCCCCTCCCTGCCACTGCCCTTTCCTGCAGGCCCAGTTACCCCAACTTCCCTCCTCTGCCTGTCTGGTCACCCCTAACTGCCCTCCCCTGCAGGCTTGATCGCCCCCAACTGCCCTCTTTTGCAGGCCAGGTGCCTTCCAACTGCCCTCCCCTGCTGGTCATCTTGTGGTGGCCATCTTGTATCCACATGGGGGCAGCCATCTTTGACAATATGGGGCAGCCATCTTGTGTGTTGGAATGAACTTTAATTTGCATATTATTATTTTATTAGATAGAATTTTAATATACATAGATATTTATATGAGATGAAGATAATTTTACTATCTACAGTAATGTTTCTATGTGCCTGTAACAGTCTTCCTTTCTCCACTGAATATATGTTATCTATGCCATTATATTTTCATTATTTTTTTCCTTTAGAACCTTTATAAATTTGGCTTAGTTTTTAATGTTTTACTGGTGGTTATGAAATGTTCTTTTGTCATGTCTTGTGGGCAAAGTGGTGATTTTACAAGTGTTTTAGAATTCCATTGAAATCAATTTCCTACAGTAAGTATAAAAAATACATTTTTGTCCCTGGCCAGTGTGGCTCAATTGGTTGGAGTGTTGTACCATATATGAAGAGAAGGCAGGTTTAATTCCTGGTCAGGACACATACCCAGGTTACAGGCTTGATACCTGTTGTGATGCACTTAAGTCATAAATAACAGTAAGAAGTATTATTTAATGTATTATAAATTTCATTTGAAAATATACATATTAAATGAAATATGTAATTATTTTAAAATTAATAATATAATGTGTAACTTTCATAGTATAATTTAAACAATGCCAATTACTTACACTTCCTTTTATATTTTTATTTAAAACTAAAATATGGGATGAATGTTGAGGACATTATACTATGTGAAATGAGCCATTCACTAAAAAAGTTAAAAAAAATTATGTATGATTTCACTTATATGAGGTACGTAGAGTTCTCAAATGCATAAAAACAAAAAGTATAATGATGGTTGCTAGGAACTGGGGTGTGGGAAAAATAGAGATTTACTGTTTATTGGGTACTGAGATATACTTTTTCAAGATAAAAACCTTCCGGAGATGGCTGGTGGTGTTGGCTACACTCACAGTTCTATACAGTGACATAATGGGAAAGTTTTCTAACATAAATTGCTATAGATTTATTGCCGTTTTCAATATAGGAGTAAAAAGAATAAGAGAGGACTGCCATCTGGATATTTTCATTGAGAAGTTAAAAAAAATGTTTTGGCTATTCTAAATCTACTATAGTGAATGAAAAGAACATTTCTTCTCAGCTATGCCAATATGTTTCTCTACTAATAAAGTGAAAGTCTGTGCTGAGCTGGCAGCATTAGAAGAGACAAATATACTTACCACAGTGAGCTTCATCAGACCTATCAGAGCAGTCTGGTTTATAGTCACAGACAAGGTGGGATGCAATACACTTTTTGTTGTGGCACAAAAAGTCAGTGGCTTCTGGGCAAATTTCAGAAGTCTCTCCCACTGGGGGAAAAAACAAAGGTGTTACTTTGTGATGGTTTCATTACATTTGATTAATCATTTTAATCATTTTATATATTTCACACTATTAAATAAGTTAGTGATTTTAATAGTTGTCCAAGGTAGATGTCCACACAACTTTCCCTCTTTCAGTCCTACCTCCATTGTTCAGCAAGTTACATAGATGATAATTTCAAAATATCCTTTAATTACTCAAAGGCTGACCATTAGCTATTATATCAACCCAAACTTCTAATCAAGGGATTACAAATCTTTTGTTTTTTGGTACCAACTTGGTTTTTAATTCTCATTTTTTGCAGCTCTTCTCATAAGCACCTGCAACAGAAGGTTCCGCAAATATGTCATTTGTTCTTTATTTTCCCATGTGTTCATATGTTGTTTCCTCTACCTACATTGACCATTCTCTCTTATGCTTCTGCTGGCCTCCTCAACCTCAAGTCTCAAGGAAACAACTCCTCTCTCTACCTTTGTCTTGCCTTTCTCTTTATCATCCAACTTCCTGGATGAACAGCCCGTTTTATGCCACCGAAGACCCCTCTCATTCCTGTTAAATAGTCAGCACCTCATATAAGAGCAGTTTACATGCCTGTCTGTCCCTTCAGACTCCAAGCCCCTTAACAGGAGGAGATTTTGCTGTATTCTCTTGGATTTTAACATGGCACCTGCTATGTACTTTGTGCTTCATCAATGCTAGTTATAATAATCAAAGGTATAATGGTTTCATCTAAAGGGAACTAAGAAAAGTGAATTCACAGGATTTTCAAAGAAAGTCACATAATAATTGAATATCCTTTGAAGTGATATGAAATCTAATGATAATTTTCACTGCTCCAAAGTGATACACATTAAAGATATGAAACTATTTTTATCAAATTCAACAAATTAAATAAAGCTCAGCAATTCTTTTGATACATAGACTATAAGTTCAGGATGGAACGCCTGAGGTAAGGTAAGTTACTCAAGGTTAGGCAGTATCTCCATAAAGGAAAATGGTAAAACTCCATAGATTTGATAAAAGTGCATTTTCATATCCATTGAATCATCCCCCCACACAATAGCTAAAACCTAAATAATTTGCAGAATACTTTAACAGTAATATATAGTCCAAATATGAAGATTGAAGAAAAAGCATCTAAGACAATAGCAAATATTTCAACTAGGGACATCACTAAGATGAAGAATTTACAGTCAGGTTTGTTGGCTGATTTAGAATCTTTCCCAAATAATTTTAATAAACACTAGATAAAATTTACACTTATCCAGAGCAACATGTAGACATTATTTAGTATGCAAATATATGCATTGGAGATTATTTCATACTCCACAGAGGAAATGTCTTAACCCATAATCTATCTAAATAATAAGATTTTTCGTTTTTTAAAAATTTGAATAGGCTACATCTCTAAATATGAATTATTTCCCTAACAGTATAGGATAACAAAGACATGAAGAGAAATCAAGTCAGTGCTTTGAATTTCAGTAAACCAAGCAACTGCTAAAATCCCTATTGTATGTGAATTACATTAAGAAAATATTAGAAAGCCTACTATTCTAAGAAAAGAGGATCCTAAAGACAAGAATATAGTCAATCAGATTGTAGATAGCAAAAACATCACAGTAAATAGAAAAATTAGATTATTTGAGTGATAATGTTCATACCTGTTCAGCAAGTTTAAATTTCTTCATCTAATCAATATGATAAACTCTATAGATTTCAAATATAAGAAATAAAAGATAATTTCAAGTATTCTATAGTTAATGATGCAGTGCTGAAAGCAGCTGGTGCTCATAATAGAGAGATGAAGATAATCTGGCTGGCAGAATATGGCATATGAAAATAACTAAATTATTACGTTAGCCAAAAAATAAAACATACAAGATTGACAGATTCATAAAGACCTAAAACTAAAGCAAGATAAGCTGAAGAATCCTAGAAAGAATAAGCCTGAATATTATGTGTCCATAAGAAATGAATATTTAATCCAATGAAAGCATGAGGTATATACAAAGGGTTAATTCATATGCATTTGAACAAACTTTTACCATCCTGAATGTGACATCAATTGAAAGCTGCTTTTATTCTGCTTTGAAACAGAATTTACAGTAAAGATGTCCTTGACTATAAATTTCTATTTGAATTTAAGTAGTTTTATACACAGAATTCATTCTACTTTATTTTATTGCTCCCATTATTCCAGTTTTGTCCAGGGGAAGCTCTTAAATTAGTTCTCGTGTCCCTTTGACATACTCATCAGTGTAGTCATTTCTTTTGGATACTACCTGATTTTCTAGCACTGTAAGTTGCTCAGGGCTAACATATATTTCCTGACCCGGTTCTAGAGTCAGTCATCAGCCATTTGGAGCACTGATTTCCTTCACTGGAGAATGCCCTTAGAAACCAAGATCTGGGTACCAGGTTGCTCCTTGCTACTGAGGTGCCATTATTTTCTATGCTATGATAACTTGAAGAGTCGTGCCATTTTTCAATTATGGAAAACGATCAATATTTTCTGTTTTGGAATTCTTTTTTTAAAAAAATATATTTTATTGATTTTACACAGAGAGGAATTGAGAGGGACAGAGAGTTAGAAACATCGATGAGAGAGAAACATCAACCAGCTGCCTCTTGCACACCCCCCACTGGGGATGTGCCCGCAACCAAGATACATGCCCTTGACCGGAATCGAACCCGGAACCTTTCAGTCCACAGGCCGACGCTCTATCCACTGAGCCAAACCGGTCCCAGCTGTTTTGGAATTCTTATTCTCACATGACATACTATCTTATATGTGGTGTGACACAAGTTTAGGGTTTTGTTTTTGTGCTGGTAGCTTCTATCTTATTTGTTTGTATTACCTTCACTTTTGCACAAACTCCTGGAAAAAACAACCACATTTCTTTGAGCCTGACCTAAAAAGACTAATCTGTATGAAAAGAGTCATGTCTAGATCTTCTCTTCTCATACAGGATTAGAAAATTCAATCCCCACATAATTTAGGCCACTGGAAAGTTAGCTTCCACCTAGATTGATATTTTGATTCTCCTCTTTGGTCTTGGGTCTAGTATATTTTTCTACTTTAAATTTCAGTTTAGAGTATTAATAAGTGTATTAGACATTCATGTTTTCAGTGAGTGGAAATAATATCTTATTCTATGATTTTGTCAATTCTTTTATAGCCTAACTTTCAATATAAATTTAATATTTAAAATTTGTCAATATCTTATGAATTCTAAAAATAACCACAAGAAAGCCACAGAAAACAATTTCCTCAAAGCAATACTCTTTATTTAATGTAAGTTTTATGATACTTGAATTTTTTCCCCTAGCAGATCTTTGTTTGAAGAAATCTCTCTCTATTTTGTATTTATATAAAAGTAAATAGATATGAGCATCTGAGTGTACTCCGAGCAAGAGGAACATTAGGATGTGTTTGTAGTGGTTAGAAGAGGGAGCTTTTACAAGGCCAGGGTTTCTTTTTACTTGGCAATGTAGGAATCTTCTTTGTAATTTGTCTATTTTAATTTGATAAATTATCCCTGGATAGTTTTCTTTTTCTTTTTTTTTTATAGGTATGTCTCAGAAGTTCTGGCATTCTAAGTAAAAGGTTTTTTTTTTAGTTAAAGCTGACAATAATGGGCAGTAAATACTGATTGCAAATAAAAGATATGGACCAAATAAAAGATAGAATGAGTTTGACCTACATTCATCTATTGCCTCTCATACATGTGCCCACAGGGGATTAAACCCAGAGCCTACATGTGCCCTTAGGAATCAAACACAATAAAAATTTCAGTGCATGGTCCAACCAACTGAGCCACACCAGGCATCTCGTGAACTCCATTCTTATAAAAGCTGCAACCTTAGGTAAGTCATATAATATTGATCTCTAAATGAAAACATTGATCAATAGTTTTTTTATACAACAGACTATAAGCTTTTACATCTAGTGATATCATCTGTTTAGAATCTTTAATTATTCATCCTAGAAATATATAGTAAGCAAATGTTAGACACACTGGTGGATATTATGATAGTTCTTACCTTCAAATAATTCATAATCTGCTGATGAAATTTTTTTTATTAAGATGGTATATGTTGTGCTATAATTGAAGATATTTATGGTTGGCTGTCAGAGGACAATAAAAAGTAGCTCAAGTTTATAGTTATGTTAATAAATATTTAATACATTTATTCAGTTGATGGACTTTAAAGTGCCTATCATCTCAGTCATTCAGTCAATTAATAAAATAGGCCAGATGATAAACTGAGAGGAAGCAGTTCCTACGTGAACTTTCTTCCATTCTTCTTAGCTTCCTTATCAAGAAAATTTGACCACATTGAATATTAAAGATTCAGATTTATTTAAAGGAAGAGAAACATTTTGGATACTGAAAGGGAAATAGCCTCAAGAATAGATATTTTGGAAAAGATTATGCACCTCAAATCTTTCTTCACATATAAATTTCTTATTTCACTTGAGTACTCTTGTTCTAAAAACATCAGGGGTGAGTTTGCACATAAAAAGAAATCTCAACACTGCAGAAGACTCAATATCACACAAGTATTTTCAAATGTTTAGAAAAATCATAGTGTTTCATATTTTCTATTCACCATGAACACTTAAATCTGTCTTATGCTAGAAAAATTGCTAAGTTTTAAGGTCAGTGCACATATCAGACAATTTATAGCAACATATCTGAAACTGTAACCTCAGTGATCTCAGTGACCGCAGAGCTCAGTGTGTATCACATTATCTGAAGTGTTACTGGAGGTACTGGACCATGTCATGTACAGCAAGAGTTTTTGGAAATATAAAAAATCTAATTCTGTTTGTGATGCAGAGGCAAGGTGCCTGCTAAGTGGAAAATATCATAAAGATCAACTTTTCATGTTTTTAGACAAAAAAGGGTGACTACAAACTGTGTCTATATTTGTCTGAAAGAAAATTATATGTACAATCCTCCCTTTCAATGAATGAAAC